ACTCTTGTGGGCACACTTGCGGAACACTCAGACTCTTGTAGGGCTCTCTTGTGGGACACTCTTATATCACACTCTTGTGGGGGCTGCGGAACACTCTGGTAGGACGCTGTGTGGGACACCTTTGTATAGGACGTGACACTCTTATCCGACACTCTTGTCAAGACTCTTGTCGGACACTCTTGTGGAACACTCGTGGGGCACTCTTGTAGAACACTCTTGTGGGACTCTTGTGGGGCACTCTTGTAGGACACTCTTGCAGGACACTCTTGTGGGACACTCTTGCGGAACACTCTTGTAAGACACTCTTGTGGGACACTCCTTTAGGACACACTTGTATGGCTTTCTTGTGGGACACTCTTGCGAGACACCCTTGTTGGACACTCTTGTGGCACACTCTTGTGGGGCACTATACTCAACAGTTAACTGTCGCGTCTCCAAAGCGAGCGTTTTGTACAAGATCCTCCAAAGGTCACACGTCAAGTCAGCAAACTGAGCATTTCGTACAATGCTCCTTCCAAAATTCACTCGTCAAGACTCCAAATCGAGCGTTTCGCACGAGACTTCCTCAAAAACTCACACTTCAAGTCTGCAAAACGAGCGTTTCGTACGAGACGTCCTCCAAAACGCGCGTGTGAAGTCTCCAAAACGAGCATTTCGCACGACACGTTTCTTCCAAGATTCACTCGTCAAGTCTCCAAAACGAGCTTTTCGCTTTCATACGAGACGTTCTCCAAAAGTCACACGTCAAAGTATCCAAACGAGCATTTCGTACGAGACATCCTCCAAAAGTCAAGCGCACACATCCAGCAGCCCTGCCAAGCAGTTTCGCGACCCCCCTCCAAACAACACTCGCTCACACGCCAATCCCAATGTCACAGCGACACTCACTTCCAAGAAGGCCCCACCCCCAGACCCAGAGTTAAACGAGAACCCTTCGCCACGCATTCGGGAAAACAACATATATATATATTTTTTAAAACATATATATACATATATAAGCAGTCATATATCACATGCGGCCACCAAAAGCCTCTACCAACGGCTGCTTCCAGCGAATGGGGCTTTTGGTATTCTCTACACCTCTTTTTGAGCTTGGCTCGCATCCCGCACGAAGCAAAGGAGGAATTTGTTTTCATCTCTTTTCTGAACTGGCTTTGCTCTCTGAAGAGGTGTCTTGTTTCTTGTTCCCAAGCTTTTGCAGGGCGCTCCATGGCCCGCACGGCCACGCCAAGGCTAAGAGATCGGGATCCACCTAGTCGTTTTCCTTCATCAAGTTCATTGAAATCCCAATGAGGCCATGATGACATCCTTTTGTATGCTTTCCTCATGAAATGACTCTCCTAGCTCATGGACACCATGTCCCAATTGTTTTCGCAGACTCTTGTTCATATTGATATTTTTTCCTTGCTTTGCGTCTACCTCTACAACCTACCCTTTTTTTCTCGGTTCTTTCGAATGTTGCTGACGATGCCCACCAGGGTGACCTGCATATCCAGCACCCCGTGGGGCCAAACACATATATATTAAATATATCTGCCGCGGATTTCGCCAAAAGCGGCGCATCAAATTGCGAACAAACTTCGTGACGTTGCGGCATCGCTGGCATTCAAACTATTGCCCATGTCGCACAAATTGGCGGTTCGGATGCAATCTGCGGTCTGCCACACATCTCAAGTTCACCTTCATGAACTTCACCACTCGAGCATAGGGCTTGAACCAACTCCTGGAGAGCAGCTTTGCCACATCGTCTAAGAAGCTTCTCCCAACACCGGCTGCAGCCAAAGGAGCTCTCCCTCAAATACCACTCCCAGGTATGTTGGCCATTGGATGCTTCCCGACGCACCTACTTGCGGAAGACTTCAACACGGCCTCGATCAGGACGTCCGTTTTTGGAAAAGAAGTGCACCTCGACCTCGTGGCATTGAGTTTGGCCGATGGAGGCACATCCTTCCATCGTGCCTCTCTTCTTCGGAATAGGACAGCCGACTACGTGGCCCAGAAGTTCATAAGTCACCGGTGCTCTTTGAATAGAACTCCCGAGGGGTGTTCATGGAGCCTTTGTTTCACGGTTGGAGATGCGCGACATCCACTCACGATGTACCGGTGCTTGAGCCGGTTGGCAGTCATTTTGATGAAACAGAGTGCGGAAAGATACATCATCAGCTGGAGAGGTCGTTGTCTTCTGGTGGCGGCGTCAAATTCCCGCACATGTACCACATTAGAAGGAGGATACTCTCAGGGTGGCCTGCAAGAAATCGACCACTCCGAGGACAAGTTCAAACAAGAGAAAGAGTATGAGGATATGACTGACACAAGTCCCGTCTCCACCAGAAGAAGGAGAATCTCGAACAGCAAAAGGAGATAGGGTGGGAGCCACAGGGAAGAAGTGATTGTGCGGAAGAGAGGAGGCCGAGAAAAGACAAGGGCTAAGGCTGCTAAGGCTAAGGAGATTGCCAAAGGCTTGCGAGGATTGAGGAAGGTGCAAAAGGACGATCAAGAAAGATGTGTCAAAGCATGATCGGATTCGATAGGTCATTGAGCCAAGGATGGAAGAATCCACAAAAAGGAAGGAGGTCAAAGTAGAAGAAGAGGAAAAAGAAGAAGAGGAAGAAGACTTCGAAGAAGAAGAAGAAGAAAGGACCAAAAAATACAATGAACATACTGTAAGAGGACGACAAAGATGGACCAGCATTTGCTCAAGGAAGCTCTGAAGCAACTTGGACCAAGTGACAGTGACAGGGAGGCATGGAGAGAGTCCTCTGAACGTGCAGGCAGACTTGATGGACATTGCCGACCACGAGGCAATGAGCCAGAGCCAAGAAGAAGCCGACCCGAACAGTATGTCGGAGGTCAAACGGATCCACAGTCACTACCAACTCCTCCAGGAGCAGGAATCACAGTACCGACCACACTGGAAAGTCTTCCCCCATTGCCAACAACACCACAGAGCATGCCACCAGTTCCCGTGTCGAGCGGATCGAGTTTAGCGTCGTCCGGAACAGGTGTCTTGTCGTCCTATGCACGTGGGCCGTTGGATTCAGCATCACAAAACGTCTCACTGCACGAGCAAGGAGCGGAGGAGGATGTGAACTTCGTTCTATGTGGTGAGGAATCAGCACAAGCAGAAGTCCATGTTTTACTTGCAGGAGGCAGGAAAGAAATTGATGCAAAGGACGCCTTTTGGAAATACGCCCAAGGGTCAGGAGCTGTCGGTCGCAAGTGTGAGGAAGGAAGTTAGGAAGTGCGTCGAGGACAACCACGCCCTGAGACCTTGTTCATTGGATGAGTCTAGGAATCCGACAGCAACATCCTGAAAGGGTCATTCCCAGTCGTCTAGTCCTGACCCCAAAGATGGAGGAATTCCGGAGAACAGATCGTGAAGGCCCGTTGGACAGCAAGGGGGGACAAGGATCCAGACCTTCTAAATTTGGTTCGCAATGGAAAAACACAGTCACCAACAATCTCATCCAACGGCAGATGCACTGTGCTACAAGCAATTGCAAGCAATCAGTTTACACTACAGTTGGGGGATGTGACTGGAGTTTTTCTAGAAACCAAGGAACTCAAACGAGACCAAAGGCTATGGATGTCAGGACAAAAGAACATTCAGTTGCCAAACCATGACCCGGAACAGCTGTTTGAGGTGGTTCGCCCATTGTATGGGCTCAACGACAGTCCACAGAAATGGTTCAGTACGTTCGATGAGACAGTGAGAGCATTGGGATGGCAACCTTCCAGATTAGATCCATGTTTGTACATGCTGTGGGGCTCAAAGCATAAGTCAGGGGCGACTGTGCTAGGAGGTATCATGATGTATCATGGGGGTGCATGTCGGTGACGTGGTACTTGGAGGACGAGGTGACCGATTCGAGAAGTCGATCGTGCAACTCAAGCAAGGAACTTTCTGTGGGTCAATGTTGACACAGGACAACCAAACAGGGGCTATATATATAGTAGTGAGCCAGGAAAGCTTTGCCGACAACATGTCCAAGCCGAAACTCAGAACAAAAGAGGATCCAACAGTCACGGTAACAGCAGAAGAAGGCACATCATTGAAATCAATGCTTGGAGCAGGGTTGTGGCTCTTCAAAGAAACCCGACCAGACTTGGCAGTGCAAGTGAGCCAAGGACAGCAGACCCTTCCAAAACCCACATTAGGAGAAGCCAGAACAGTAGCAAATGTGACCCGACGAGCCAAGCAATACAAACACCTTACATGGAAGATCCTGCCAATTCCGTTTGACAAGATCAGACTTTGTCTCCACACGGATGCAGCTTTTGCAAATGCCCGGAGACAAGGAACACAAGCAGGATACATTGTGGGGGTCACAACAGATGAACTTCGAGCCGGAACACCAGCGATGTGGGGCCCAGCAACATGGAAGCCATACAGACGGAAGAGAGTAGTTGGTTCTACATTTGCGGGAGAGACTCAAGCGTTGATGGATGGTTTGGGACACACAGAGTGGATAGCATGTCACCTAGCTGAACTTCGCTTCCCATCATTCTCACTAGAGAGTCGGTCAGAGTTCATCAAGGAATTCCACATCCAAGCCATCACCGATTGCAAGAGCATCTACGATCATCTGCAAACATATTCCTCCCCAAGCAGTGTGTCGGATAAACGTGTGGCAATTGACTTGATCATAGTAAAGGAGACCATGAAACGAGTGTGGGGAACTATTAGGTGGGCACCTACTTGGCTACAACTGGCAAATGCGTTGACTAAAGAGAATGCAGATGCCATGGATGTACTAAGAGGAGCTATGACTAGTAACCTCTACATACCTCTACCACTTAAACAATGAGAGTGTGCTGCAGAGTGCTGAGCAACGAGACCGAAAGAAAAGGCCGACCGAGACTCGAGGCTCAGAGGTTTTGTTTGTGCGACCAGTTGCCGATACGGTGAAGATCGAGGCCAAGGGCTTGAAGGAAGTCAAGACTGAAGAGTTCAAGAAGATCATGATTCAAACTCGTGCAAGACGAAGCTTCCTTTGGAGATGGTGAATGCCAAGGAGTTTCGAGTTGAGAAGTCGCTGGTCACAATGACCTATACCGTGAACACCCAGATGATTCAGGTGCAGACGGGAGCGGCCTACCTCGACCGGGTTGAGACCACGGTGAACGCCGTCCTCATGCATTAATTACAAGGACCTGCTGAAGGAGAACAAGGTGATGCCCATGCCAGAAGGAACGGGCGAATGGAGTGAAGCTTTTCGCACAGTGCTTCACGAAGGGGCTCGATCCGTATACTTGGAGGAGAAGATCGACGAGGGCCAGCCGACCTCGACGAAAGGATATGAGCCGCGGATGGTGCGGGCAATGACGCCCACGGATGAAGAGTGTTGTGCTGCTGTGGCGGAACTTTGCCATGAAGGAGCACGCCGTTTGCACAGCTACCCTGGATGGAGGCAGAAGTATCTCCAAACAATGCTCCGTGAATTTGGAGCTGATCCGGAGTTGGTGATGGAGCTGAGCGGCCTGACTGAACAGTTCCACATGCGGACGGATGACGAGGATTGGTCTGTCACGTCGGCACAGTCCCAAGGACTTCGAGCTGCCGCGAAACCGAAATCTCTTTTCCTCGATCACCATGAGCATGCGCAGACGGGTTGAACCAACATAGAATTTTGATGCGTGTGATTTCCACGTATTGGTTCAACCCATGTCTTTTGTGGCCATATAGGCTGGAGTTGACAGGCACGGCGCGAGGGCGCGCCATAGGGCCTGAACGCCAACCCGAGCCATAGGAGGAAAAGTGGCGAGGCTGGACTTTGTGGAGCAGGAGCTCACTGACCAAGCCAGTTCAAAGACAGTGAAGAGGTTGAGAGAGCATGTGCACCTACTGTAGTAGTAATGCCCTTTGTTGCTAGTAGCTTCTTGTTACTTGTGTAAACGCCAGCAGCTACTAGTAAGCTTCTTGCTCCTAGTAACTAGAAGCGATGCTCTTTGTTACTAGTAGCTTCGGCCACTTAGCTTCAAGCATCGAAGGAGAGAGATGACACACCAAGAACTGGGCTGACGGAAGAACTCGGCCAAAGGTTCACACCGGATGTTATGCACTACAGCATGTTGAGCCTGGTGCAAGGGTCCAAGAGGGCAAATGAGTGGCCTTCCAAACAAGAGGTCCAAAGAATGTCTGAACTGCTGGATCTTCCCATCACCAGCATGCTGGACGACCAGTTGAACAGAAGGTAGTAACCAAGGCTCCAGCTGAAGGTCTTCCAGCAGGGCGAGATGAGAAGGTTGTGTGAAACCCTTTAGCTCTTGATGTTGCGCAAATCTCGGTCTTTCAGAGACACCGAAATTGTAGTACCTCAACGCCCAAGAATTGCTGGAGGAAATTGGTTTCATATATAGAGTTGGTGCTTTCCCGAGCGACTTTTGTCATGAAGGAGGGTGCAAACGTGATTGACATAATTTTGTGTTTGCATATGGACGACGGGCTGTTTGTTAAAGTTCCAAGTTCAATATCAAAGAGTAGCAGACCACGGATGAGAAAGCCATCACGTTCTTGGGAGTGAACACTACGCTCAAAGAGGGCCAAATTCAGAGATGAGATGATGGAATACATCGAGAAGTGCAACCAGCCAAGGTAGAAGTTGGCGCAGAGCAAACCTTAGACAAAGGATGAACAGTTGTCTAGTCTAGTTGTCTGCATACCGGGGGCTGGCTATGCAGCTGGGATGGCCGGCCCATCTGTCCTGCCAGTGCCCTCGCCAGAAGGTCTCAACTGCGAACCACCTCCTGAGTCAAATGAAGAAGGCAGTTGTTTGCGTCCTATTTTGATGCACCTCTCGGAAAGACAGTCGCAATGGCAGCGCCACAGGCTGAGATTCATTTTTCTCCAAAAGATGTGTCCGCCCTTTGTGTCACTGCTGGTGTCCGCCCTTTTCCGCTGGCCATGTAGAATTTCTATTCATTTGTCTCCCAGGTCTGTCACTGGTGTCCGCCCTTTTCCGCTGGCCACGCAGCATTTCTAGTCATTTGTCTCCCAGGTCTGTCACTGCTGGTGTCCGCCCTTTTCCGCTGGCCATGTAGCATTTCTAAGCATTTGTTTCCCAGGTCTGTCGCTGCTGGTGTCCGCCCCTTTCCGCTGGCCATGTAGCATTTCTGGTCATTTGTCTCCCAGGTCTGTCACTGGTGATGGCCAGCCCTTTTTCCGCTGGCCATGCAGCATTTCATTTTGTCTCCCAGGTCTGTCACTGCTGGTGTCCGCCCTTTTCCGCTGGAGATGCAGCATTTCTATTCATTCCCAAAACAATTTACTGTTAGGTGCTCTCAATTCTTCTTCAAGATGCGTCCGCCCTTTCTGTCACTGCTGGCCCTTCTCCGCTGGCCATGCAGCATTTCCTTGTCTCCCTTCTGTCTCCCTTTGTCTCCGGTCTTGTCTCCCTTCTTGTTGGTCACAGTATCTGCCTTGTCTTTCCTTTTGTCTCCCTTCTTGTTGGTCATTGTGTCCGCCTTGTCTCCCTTCTCTCTCCCTTTGTGTCCGGTCTTGTTTCCCTTTTTGTTGGTCACTGTGTCCGTCTTGTCTCCCTTCTGTTTCCATTGTGTCCGCCTTGTCTGCCTTCTGTTTGGCTTTGTCTCCGGTCTTGTGTCCCTTCTGTGACCGCCTTGTCTCCCTTCTGTTTCCTTTTCTCTTCCTTCTTGTCTCCGTTTTTGTTGGTCATTGTGTCCGTCTTGTCTCTCTTCTGTTTCCTTTTGCCTCCCTTCTTGTCTCCCTTCTTGGTGGTGACTGTGTCCGTCTTGTCTCCTTCTGTTTCCTTTTGTGTGCCGGTCTTGTCTCCCTTCTTGTTGGTCAGTGTGTCCGCTTTGTCTCCTTTCTGTCGGTCTTGTCTCCCTTCTTGTTGGTCAGTGTGTCTGTCTTGTCTCCCTCTGTTTCCTTTTGTCTCCCTTCGTGTTGGTCACTGTGTCTGTCTTGTCTCCCTTTTTTCCTTTTGTCTGCCTTCTTGTCTCCCTTCATTGTGTCCGCCTTGTCTCCCTTCTTGTCTCCCTTTGCCTCGGGTCTTGTCTCACTTCTTTGTTGGTCACTGTGTGCGTCTTGTCTCCCTATTGTTTCCTTTTTTCTCCCTTCTTGTCTCGCTTCTTGTTGGTCATTGTGTCCGCCTTGTCTCCCTTCTGTCTCCCTTTGTCTCCGGTCTTGTCTCCCTTCTTGTTGGTCACAGTGTCCTTCTTATCTCCCTTGTCTCCTTTTGTCTCCCTTCTTGTCTCCCTTCATTCTTTCTTTGTCTCCGGTCTTGTCTCCCTTCTTGTGGGTCACTGTGTCCGTCTTATCTCCCTGCTTTTTCTTTTGTCTCCCTTCTGCTTCCTTTTGACTCCCTTCTTGTCTCCGTTCTTGTTGATCATTGTGTCCGTCTTGTCTCCCTTCTGTTTCCTTTTGTCTCCCTTCTTGTCTCCTTTCTTGTTGGTCATTGTGTCCGTCTTGTCTCCCTTCTGTCTCCCTTTTTTCTCTGGTCTTGTCTCCCTTCTTGGTGGTCATTGTGTCTCTCTTCTGTTTCCTTTTGTCTCCCTTCTTGTTGGTCACTGTGTCCGCCTTCCTTCTGTTTCCTTTTGTCTCCCTTCTTGTCTTCCTTTTTGTTGATCATGGTGTCCGCCTTGTCTCCCTTCTGTTTCCTTTTGTATCCCTTCTTGTCTCCCTTCTTGTTGGTCATTGCGTCCGTCTTCTCTCCCTTCTGTCTCCCTTTTTCTCCGGTATTGTCTCCCTTCTTGGTGGTCATTGCGTCCGTCTTGTCTCCCTCAGTTTCCTTTTGTCTCCCTTCTTGTCTCCGTTCTTGTTTGTCATTGCGTCCGTCTTGTCTCCCCCTTCTTGTTGGTGTCTAACCTGTTTGGGGCCTACGGCGGTGTAATTTGATTGGAAGCGCCGTGGAACGACAACAAACGAAGAGTATCATCGCGTTCCACAGCAGTAAGGTACAAAGAGTTGCGCGCAAGCCCTGCAGCGGAGTCTTGCACCTTGAATGCACAAGATCCTCTACAATAGAACGTTGTTTGGAGCATTGCCTGTTGGAGGACAGAACACAAAGTCGATACACGAAGGGGCTAAATGACCACGTCAACAAGAGAGGGAGTATGACCAGTGAAAATCAGACAGCACTGGACACGCTGACGGTCAAAAGGCTGGTGGAGGACCAGCTGTTGCAACTCCGGTGGGGGGCAGGGGGCTGATCCTCTCACCAAAGATATCAACACCGAGCTTTGGCAGCAGTTCCGCAAGACAGGACAGCTGTGCTGGGTGGAGAGAAGTGGAGACAAAGTTGAAGGGGAGGGGCGAGCAGGGATCAGAACAGTTCATAGGGAAACGCGCAAGTCACGAATGATGACTGCACGGAACCTTTTCCTGACGTCGAAGATGGAGGCGTTAGCTTTCCGTGCATGTTAGTCGGCTTGTGCATTTTGTACCACCGCCTGCGGACATTTTTCACAAGGCATCGATAACTGCTAGCGCTAGCGCAGAAACAAAGTTTTCGCTTTTGTTTGTTTGCGGTGTTGCGTATGCAGCTTCCCTGTGCGCCTTGGTCCTTTGGTGGTTGCATCCCCAAATTGTTCTTTGGGAGTGCCGCTCCCCATACCAATCACCCACACAACTTCAACAAAGGTTGCAATGTCTGTGGCGGACTGCGCCTTCAATTCTTGGAGCTCTGTGGTAAACATGTGCTTACAATTCCAGTATACTATATATATATATGTATATAATGTATATATATATATATATGTGCGTGTGTGTGTGTCCACCCCTGGACAAAGGGTTTTCCACCGCTACTCCTTC